GCCGCCACAGCGAGGCCCTCTCGCGGGTCCTTCTGGGACCTAACAATTCTAGCTTTATAACTTCTTTTTACAAATCTCTGGAGTGGAGAGGAGGAGTGGGGCAGGGGCTCCGGCCTTCCCGACGCCGCGCCCTTTAACACAGCTCCTCCCGTGGCGGCGGCCAGCCAGAGCCACTTCCGTGGCTGCTTCACAGCTGTGACTGCGCTGCTGTTATGAATCGTCATGTAAATACCTGTTTCCCATGGTCTTAGGCGACCTGCTAGCGGTCCTCAAGCGTGTTCATTGCTGAAACGTTTAAAAGAAAAACCAGCAGGGTGGGGTGGCTGGAGGGAGCCGACGGGGAGGGGGCCCAACAACAAAGATGAAAATAAGTGAAAAGGAAAAAGAGAAACAGAGAAACCCTCGGCCTAGGAACCAGGAGGTCAGGGCTCGGTCCCGGGCAGGGCACGTGCCCAGCAGGAGGGGTGCAGGGGCAGCTGATCCACGATTCTCTCCGTCACTGATGTTTCCGTCTCTCTCTTCCCCTGAAACCAATAAAATACATTAAAAACAAATAAATGAAGGCCGAGCAGGGCAGTGCACGCTGTGTCCTGAGGAGGGTAAGCTAGGAGTCCGGCCCAGAGGGGCCTGGACCTCCCCCCAGCCCCCCAAGCGCCACCTCCCCACCCCCACCCGCATTCCTGGTGCACCGAGGGCCCTGGAGCCCCTCAGAGTGCCAGGTCTCGCTGCCAGGCCTGCCGTCGGGTGGGGGACACCCGGGCCCCTCCCCTGCTCCCTGGGCACGGAGGGAGGAGGTGCACAGAGAAGGGGGTGCACAGAGAAGGGGGTGCACTGCACGTCCACGGCTGCAGAATCCAGTCTGTCGTCCTGGCCCCATGTCAGAACCAGCCCGTCAACAACACGTGGCCACTCGGCTTCCCGTCTCCTAGCAACGGAGCCCAGTGCTCTGCTCCCCCCGCCTCCCCCTCACCCCCCCCCCCCCATTTCCTTCCCTCTCGGCCCGGCTCCCGAGCCATCAGCCGCCCTCACCTCGGCCCGGCCTGGTTGGTCTTAGGGAGGAGACCCTGCTGCCCACCGGCCCCATGTCCGGAGGCCAGTCCTGCTCCTGGTCCCGCTCCTCTCCTCTGCGCCCTCCTGGGTTCAGGGTACGAGGCCCGGCTCTTTCCCTCCCTGTCTCTGCAGGAGGCTCAGTCCGCGGGGTGAGCAGCCAGCACCCAGCTTCTCCCCAGCAGCCTCTGCTCCTGCCTCCTCCCAGGCCACCTGTGCCCACCTGGCTCCGCCTTCAGCTGCTCCCACATCTCCTCCAGGCCCACCTGTGACCGCGCAGGTTGGATCCAGTCTCAGCAAGAGCCTTGCTGAGTCCCCGGGGTCCGAACCCCTACCTCTACCCCTACAACCCCACCCCCTACCCCCCGTGACCTCTGACACCGGCTCCTGCAGCAGGAACCATTAGGTGGCCTCCAGACCCCTCTTCCTGTCCCTCCAGGACCCCCCTCCTGCTGGACCCCACAAGCCCACCCATGCCTCGAACCCCGCCCTTGTGGTCCCCGCCACCCTGAGGGCCCAGCACAACCTCCAGTCCGGCCCCTGAAGGTTTGTTCACCCTCCGGGGCTGCCCGAGGCCTCGGGGTCTGGGCTCCGGAATGCGTCCCTGAGCGCCATGTCCGCCCCCCCCCCTCGGGTCCCCCACCCTCTGCCTGGAGCGCTCACTGCCTGGACCCTCCACGACCTCTCCCCAAGGCCAGCGCAGACGGCCTGGGAGCAGGCCCCGCACACACTCACGGGGACAGAGCACCGGGGAAGAGAGTGAGCAGGAGCGGGAGCACGAGGGGTGGGGGGCTAGCATTCCAGTCCTGTGTCCTGGGGTCCCACCAACACGTGACAGCCACTCCCCTGGGAGCTTCCTGCATGCACCCCAATCTTACCCGGAGCCAAATACTCCCCACATCCCACCCACCCACCACTGGGCACGGGCGCACTGGCTGTGTCTCCCCATCCCCCCCCCCCCGCTCGTTCTCGGACCGGAGAGCGCAGAGAAGGGGGTGCACAGAGAGGGTGCAGAGGGGGTGCAGCCTGTGTGTGTGTGTGTGTGTGCAGGCAGCCTGTGTGTGTACACAGCATGTGTGGTGAGTGCATAGGGGTGTGGTGTGTGTGTGTAGGGTGTGTGCATGTGCAGGATGTGTGGTGTGTTTGTAGGGTGTGTGTATGTATGTATATGTGTGGGATGTGATGAATGTGTGTGTGTGTGTGTGTGTGTGTGTGTGTGCTGCTCCTGCCCACACGGCGCCCAGTAAGTGGACGAGGGGCGGTCTGCGGATCAGAGCGTCTGGAGGAGCTGAGCCTCGCAGGAGGGTGGGGTGTCAGGCCTGAGCTTCAGCAGATGGAAGGGGATCAAAGCGGAGGGCAAGGCCCTGGGCCCAGGGGTCCCGCCCAGCACCCCGGCCCTGCCCTGCCCCGAGGCTCTCCGGGGCCTGCAGTCCCCGCCAGCCAGGGTGACGGGAGGGAGCGTGCTTTAATTAGACAGAAATAGAACGTTTATGAAAAACCAGCCTCTCGCCAGCGTGCTGCGGCGGGGCCCCAGCCTGCAGGGGTGTGCGTGCAGAGTGTGGTCTCTGTGTGCGTGCAGCCCATGTGTGTGTGTGCATGCAGTTTGTGTGTGTGCATGCAGCCAGTATGTGTGTGTGCATGCAGCTTGTGTGTGTGCATGCAGCCTGTGTGTATGTGTGTGTGTGTGTGTGCAGCCTGTGTGTGTGTGCAGCATGTGGTCTCTGTGTGTGCAGCCTGTGTGTGTGTGCAGCATGTGGTCTCTGTGCGTGCAGCCTGTGTGTGTGCAGCCTGTGTGTGTGCAGCATGTGGTCTATGTGTGAAGCCTGTGTGTGTGTGTGTGCATGCAGCCTGTGTGTGTGCAGCCTGTGTGTGTGCAGCATGTGGTCTATGTGTGAAGCCTGTGTGTGTGTGTATGCATGCAGCCTGTGGTCTCTGTGCGTGTGCAGCTTGTGTGTATGCATATGTGTGCATGTGTGTGCGTGTGTGTGCACGCAACCTGTGTGTATGCATGCAGCCTGTGTGTGTGCATGCAGCCTGTGTGTGTGCATGCAGCCTGTGTGTGTGTGCAGCCTGTGTGTGTGTGCAGTCTCTGTGTGTGCAGCCTGTGTGTGTGCATGCAGCCTGTGTGTGTGCAGCCTGTGTGTGTGCATGCAGCCTGTGTGTGTGCAGCCTGTGTGTGTGCAGCCTGTGTGTGTGCATGCAGTTTGTGTGTGTATGCAGTCTGTGTGTGTGTGCAGCCTGTGTGTGTGCAGCCTGTGTGTGTGCATGCAGTCTCTGTGTGTGTATGCAGTCTGTGTGTGTATGCAGTCTGTGTGTGTGCAGCCTGTGTGTGTGCGTGCAGCCTGTGTGTGTACACAGCATGTGTGGTGAGTGTATAGGGGTCTGGTGTGTATGTAGGGGTGTGGTGTGTGTGTGTAGGGTGTGTGCATGTGTAGGGTGTGTGGTGTGTTTGTAGGGTGTGTGTATGTATGTATATGTGTGGGGTGTAATGAATGTGCATGGTGTGTACATATTTATGAGCGGCATATGTATGCCGTGTGATGTGTATGTGCGCACAGGTGTGTGGGGGTGCACACATGTGTGTGAATGGCATATGTATGCCGTGTGTGTGTGTGTGTGTGTGTGTGTGTTCTCGCTCCTCCCTGACACCGTCCATCCTCAGGCCTCTCTGGCTCCTGGGAAGGGGCTCCCGGCTCCCCGGGGTCTTCTGGGCCCATAGAGGCAGGAGGGGGGGCACCGCCCCAACCACACCACCATCTCTGCCCGGGCCTGTCCGTGGGCCGGAGGAGGAGCGGGTTTGCAGAGCTGGTCAGCAAGGCGGTGGGTGTCCTACTGTCAGAGACCTGCTGCTCAGGGCGGCCCGGGGACCGCAGCCTGGGGCCGCGGCGGGCCTGGCGGGGGCGGTGAGGGGCCTGGGCCTGGCGGGGGCCGCGGCGGGCCTGGCGGGGGCGGTGAGGGGCCTGGCGGGGGCGGTGAGGGGCCTGGCGGGGGCGGTGAGGGGCCTGGCTGGGGCGGTGAGGGGCCTGGCGGGGGCGGTGAGGGGTGGTGGTGAGGGGCCCAGGCCTGGCAGGGGTAGTGAGGGGCCCGGGCCTGGTGGGGGTGCTGAGGGGCCGCTCAGAGGCCAAGCCCAGCAGAGGCTTCACTGCTGATGCCTGGCCCTCGTCGGTGCTGCCCTGCTGGGTGCCACCTGCGGGGGCTCTGTGCGCCCCCCTGTGCTCCCCGCGGGCCTGGGGGCTCCTGCACAGCTAAGGGAGGCGCCAGGGTGTCCCCGGGGGAAGGCCCCGCAGCCTGGACTTAGGGTCACTCAGGCGCCTCCACCACAGGTGCCACCTGGGGTCCAGGCCTCGCAGGCCGGGCCTGGGCAGGAGGGCAGCCTCAGGAGCCAAGTCCGGCCCAGCCCCCTGCGGGGTGCCCAGGCGGGGGGGAGGGGATGGGGGGCAAGCCGGGCATCTCTGTCGCCACCCAGAGGCGCGGCCAGAGCACCATGTTCCCCCATCCCCTCCCCCTCCCCCCTCCTCTTCTCCCCCCCTGCCTCCTCCCCCTCCTCCTCCCCCTCTCTCTCCTCCTCCCCCTCCTCCTCCCCTGCCTCCTCTCCTGCCTCCCCCTCCCCCTTTCCCGCCTCCTCCCCCGCCTCCCCCTCCCCCTCCTCCTCCCCCGCCCCCAGCGCCCCTCGCGGCCGGACACGCGCACGGGGCGCGCTCCCCGCACCGGCAGCCGCGCGCCCAGCCCGCCGCTCAGCGTCGCGGAGCCAGAGCCGGAGCCGGGGATCCGGGGAGCGCGGGGCCGGGGCCGGGCCCGGGAGGCGGCGAAGGCGGCGGCGGAGGAGGAGGAGGAGGAGGAGGAGGAGCAGGAGGAGCAGGACCCGGAGGCGGAGGCGGCGGATGGCGCGCGCGGGGCCCGCACGTGGCGGCCGCGGGGGCGCGGGCAGGCCCGGCCGCTGAGACGCCGGCCCCATGGCGCCCCGGCCCCGCAGGCCCCGGCGGGAGGCGGCCGCGCTGCCCGGCCTGGCCTCCTCGCTGTGGGCGCTGGTGCTGCTGGCCGGGCTGCTGGTGGCCTTCTGCAGTGAGTACCGCCCGTCCCGGGCCATCTCCCGCCGGGTCCCCCGCCCCGGGTCCCCCCACCCGGCCCGGGTCCCCCCACCCCGGCCTCCGGGGGACAGGGGGGCGCGCCCCGGGCCCGGGCCGCAGAGCCGCCCGCCGCTGCCCTCCCGCCTGTCCGGGAGCGGGGACGCGGCGGCCGCGCGGGAGGGACTGGGGGGGACGGGGCCTGCCTCCGGGGGGACGGGAGGGGGGACGGGGCCCTGCCTCCGGGGGCGCGGGGGAGGGGCAGGGGGACGGGGGCGGCGCCGGCAGCGGCCCGGGGTCAGACCCAGCGGCGGGCTCGGGCTCAGGCTGGGTCCGGGCCGGGGCTCATGGGGTGGGGAGCCCGCACTCTCCAAAGCTGGGTGCGTCCGGGAGAAGCGGGGGTCAGCGGGGCGCAGGGGTGGGGGTGGGGGCGATGGGAGGGTCACCCGCTGGGCACCGGCCGGCCTGGCCCCGGGTCCGGGTGCCCGTCTCCGCGGGGAGCGGCCGGGCGCGGTGGACAGCGTCCTGGACCAGCCGGGCAGCGGTCGGGAGACGTGGATTCTTTAAAAATTGTTTAAAATCCCCAGGCGCCACCTGACAGCCCAGCCCCGCGTCCCCGCTTCCTGCCCGAACCCCCCCTCCCTCCTCCCCAGGGAGACTGCGGGGCCCAGGGGGGTCCCTGCCTCCGGATCTGGACACCAGCCCTCAGCCCCGGACCCCGGGGACGGTCCAGGGCAGGAGGCCTCCTGCCGGGTCCAGCCAGGCCGCGGGCTCCCTGCCGTGGCTGGGCACCTCGGGGAGGGTCCCGGAGCAGACCCCCTCGCTGGGGCTGTGACTGGGAATGCCTGGCGCCACCGCCACGCCAGGGGGGCACAGTGTGCCCCTGGGAAAACGCTCCTTCCCAGGCCAAACGCCAGGAGCCGGTCTGGGGTTCGAGCGAGTTCGTGCCCGCCCGCCCGCCGGCGCCCTGGCTCGGCTGGTCCCTTGCTCAGGGGAGAGGGCTCAGGCAGGCGAACTCACTGTGGGGAGAGATGCCGTTTGAGGTCCTTGGGGTGGCATCGCTGGAGGGGTGCACTCAGCAGGTTTGGGGGGCGGACCGAGCATCCAGAGCCAGAGACTCCGTTCCTGGCAGCCCAGGCGGCGGCCGCGTCCTTGGGGCCGTGCCTGGAGGCGAGGGCAGCTGGCGCTGGCGGGAAGGAGCAGCTGCTGGTCCTTGTTCAGGGCAGACCCCCGGCTGCGTGGCTGCGACACAGCTCAGCAAACACCCCAGCCCGGCCGGGGCTCCCTGCTCCGCCCCCTCAGCCTGGGGGACCTGCCGCTCCAGCCCTCCCGGAACCCGGCCCAGAACCCACCCCGACACCCACACGGTCCGGCCCACGCCGAGAGCCAGGGCTCAGAGCCACGGGGGCCTGCGGGTGGCTCCGGTGAGGACCCCTGAGGCCAGCCCCCGCCCCCCTGCTCAGCGGCCTTCCGGAGCCTCCGGGGCTGGAGTGGGTCCCCCACCGGCACCGGGATGCGCGGACAGCGGCACCGGGCAGCGGGCGTCACCCTCTGGGAGCTCCGTCCTCGTCGTGGCGCCTCCCTGGCCGGGCAGTGTGTCTGCTCTGTAACGGCCCGCACACCCCGCCACGCACGGGGGCACCAAACACGTTTCCCTGAGACACAACAAGGCTCCAGCCGAGTTCACAGCTTGGTGTGAACAGCAGCCTGGAGAGGAAACTCTCTCTCTCTCTCTCTCTCTCTCTCTCTCTCGTTTCTTATTCTTGTGTTAAGACTGGGAAAGGCCAACGAGACGCCGCCGAGCAGTGCCCTCGGCCCTGCGGGTCCGTCCTCCCTCCCCGGCCTCGGGGCGGGGAACAGGCGTTAGCATCCCGGCTGGTAAACGGTTCCGTTATCTGCCATCGGCCTGGCTGCGGGCGCCCGGGCGTTACAGAGCAGACACACTGTATCCGCTAACCAGGGACACATCCTCCTCCAGGATCCCGCCGCCCAGGTGCTGTCCTGCCCGGATTAGGTCCTGGCCTGGTTTCCTGTTCTTGGCGGTGAAAGGCCGTCCTTCTTCCAGCCCAGCCGGCTCCGGCCCTGCTCCAGGGGGGAGGCGCCACCCTCCGGCCGGAGAGAGGCCTGCAGCCCGCCGCCAATTAGGCTGGTTGCTATAGAGACAGCCCTGTCATTTTTCTGGGATTGGGAAGAATTGCCGGGAGGAGCGGGGAGGGCGGAGGCAGGGGCCGGTGGCTTTCCTTCAGAGGCGACTCCGTCTCCCTCCGCGGGCACATCCGGGGGCAGCGGGCTGGGGGGGGGGGGGGGCAGGGGCGGCTCGGGCAGCGATGGGCGCGGGAGAAAGGGGAAGTTTTCTCCTCCGGCCCCGAGGCCGCTGCCACGGGGCTGGGAACGGGGTGTGGGCCACCCTCCTCCCCCTGGCACAACCGGAGAGCAGGGCGGCCCGGGCGTGGCTGCGGGCGCCGTGGCTGCAGGTACTGTGGCTGCGGGCACCGTGGCTGCAGGTACTGTGCTCTTTGCTCTCCACCCGGTGGCTGGGGTGTCGCCGAGGGATGTGATGCGGTGGGAGCCTCACTCTCCGGCCCGTGGCGGGGACACCGGCCACGGAATTTCGTTCGCAGGGGCGCCGCGGTGCTCCCGGGGGGCCTGCACGCCCCTGTGTGGGGCGGCCAGGCAGCCAGGCGTCCCCCAGCCAGCCTGGGAACGTGGGGGGAAAGGCTGTGTTCTAAAGCTTCCCGAGAGCCCCAGCTGGGCGGCTCAGTGGATAGAGCGTCCCCCTGTGGACAGACGGGTGCAGGGTTCAGCTCTGGTCAGGCTCCAGGAGGGGGCGTGCAGGAGGCAGCCGGTCAATGACTCTCTTGTCATCGATGTTTCTCTCTCTCCCTCGCCCTTCCTCTCTAACATCAATAAAAACGTGTTTTAAATAAATACGGTTTCTGGAGGGCTGGGGGCAAGCAATAACTCCCATCCACACAGAACCGTGTCCTGCCGCGGATCTCACGGCCGTGGCGGGAACCACGCGAGGAAATGACAGACAGCCTCAGGGTCGCCTCCGTCCACTAGCCCCGTGGTCGGCAAACCGCGGCTCGCAAGCCACCTGCGGCTCTTTGGCCCCGTGAGTGTGGCTCTTCCACAAAACGCCACGGTCTGGGCGAGTCTGTGTCGAAGAAGTGGCGTCAGAAGACGTTTGAGTTTAAAAAGTGTGGCTCTCCAGAGAAATGCCCAGCGTTGAGCTGTTGGCATCTGGCTCTGTGGGCGGATGAGTTTGCCGACCGCGGGGCTGGAACATTAACGGATCCCAGCCCCGCACCGGCCTGGCTGGCTCTGATCGCGGGGGCGGGGCAGGGGCGGGGCCGACGCCCTGAGTGGGTGTGGTCAGCTCCCAGGGCTGGGGGCGGGGCAAAGGTAACCGGGGCGTGGCCAGAGGGTGTCCCCTGAGAAATGGAGGTGCGGGTCCTCCCCGAGTGTCAGTCTGGTTTGCACACACCTGGGGGCGCGGAAGGACGCTCACCCGTGTGTAAGGGCCGCCTGGGGGAGTGGCCTTAGAGGGGCGTGGCTTCGGAGCTGCCCGTCTCCTGTGAACGGACGGGATCCGTTGGCGGACGCTGCGGGAGGACACGCGTGTCCCAGGTTGTGATGTGTGATGTCGTGTCAAACGCGGGGCAGCCGGGAGCCGGCGTGGCCGGAGCCGGGAGCCTGGGCTTCCCGGGAGCCGGCGGGCTCGGGGCCGTCCGTCGCACCTGAGCGGCTGGGCGGCGGAGAGTGCGTCCCCGCGCTGAGCCGGCCGAGGCCGCGGGGGCTCAGGGACACTGGCCTTGGGCAGCCAGCCGGGGCACGGGGCCGGCGGCGTGGACTCGCAGGGATTACAGTATGAAGGGCGGGTGGGCGGGCGGAGCGGGCCCAGGCGCTCTCCCTGCTTCCCGCAGGCTCCGGCTCCTCACGCCGGCTCGCCGGTACCAGCGGCTGGGGGCGGTGGGTGCTCCTCTGCTCTGAGATGGGTCCCTCGCCTCGTCTGCGGGCTGAGGGCTCTGCCCCCTCTCGTCGCCGGGAAAGTCTCGGTCACCTCAAGGGTAAGGGGACCAGACGTCCCGCTTTCGGCAGGACAGTCCCGTCGCGGGACGTCCGGCCACCGTACTCCAGGAGGGCGCCTTGCGGACGGGGCGTGCGGTCCGTTTGGGCGGCCTCTCGGCCGAGGTGGGAGCGCTGCCCGTGCCTGGGGGGTGGGCACCTCCGAGTCCCGCCTCCTGGCCAGGCAGAGCCTCTGCCCTGCTCCCCGGTCCTCCCTGAGCCTCAGGGAGTCTGCCCGGAGCCGCGCGGAGGGAGCCGAGAGGCCCTGTGTGTGCATCAGCCGCTCACACGTCCACGGGAGTGCGAGTGCGCCCGGTGCTGGTCTGGCTGACCGAGGCTGCCCCTGTGTGACCCCGACTCAGACCCGCTGTGTCCGGTTCTGCCGGCGGTGAGGGCCTTACCACCTCCTCGTCACTCACTGCAGCGGAGACAGCCCCTCACAGCCCCGGCGCCCGTGCCAGTCCTGCCGGCTGGTTCTGGCTGGGCCCACGGGAGGGGCTGGCCCAGCTCCGCTTCGCTCAGAAAACACCGTGGAGGGCCTCTCAGCCGGAGCTGTGGATTCCGAGGCCACGGAAAGGGGGGGGGGGCGGACCCGCACCACAGCTCATCCCGGGGCCTGGAGCGGCCCCCTGCTGGCCCGGCCTCGCCGTGACCCCGGAGGACCCAGCGCCGCCCTCGTGTGCCGGGCCGGTCAGCACCTCTGTCCCGTTGAGCTTCCTGGCAGCCACGGCAACAAGGGACCCTCCTCTCGGCGTGCGGCTCCCTGTCCGTTCAGGATGTGTCTCAGGACGTTCCCGGGGCTGGGCGGACTGTGCCGATCCCTCGACAAGTCCCCCCCCCCCAAACCTGCCAGGTGGGCTGTCCTCCCCACTTTCAGGGGAGCCGCAGAGGCTGAAAGAGGGTCAGCCTGCTCCCTATCAGCCCCCCGGC